GGGATATAAAATCTCTTACTTCAAGGCATAAGCCACTACACGAGGCAGATTAAAGAGAAGTGTCCACTTTGGGCAAGCTGCTCCATGAGCTACGATGTCCCCTGCCCCAGCCACGGGCAGCTGAGGACGACAGGCAGGCAGTGGCTGTTGCCAGGACCCTGTGCCTTCCCACGACAGATGCCACATGATGCTGTTGATCTCCTGCCTGCTCTCAACACATCCAGGAATACTCACCAACAGTCAGCAATTTTATGCTGGGTCCACCTGCCTTCCCCCTTTCAGCCCCGGTCTCCTGGAGGAGGAAGTGAGCTGGACAGCTGGGCACGGGGCACGGGTGGACATGGGATGCTGAGCAGGGGGCCACAAGCAGGCACCGCTGGGGCTGCAGTGGGGTGAGAGCATGGTTACAAGCAGGAGGAGGAAAGTGGAGGGCGATTTTTCCTGGTCCCTGTGTAGACTTTAGACACTGCCCTGTGACAGGGAAGCTGCCCATGCGGCTCCCTCCAGCCTCCGAGGGGGACTCATGGCTCTGTCATTAGACAGCAGTTGGGGTCTAGAGCAGAGCTGTCCCATCTGTGCACCTGCCTGGACTGCTGGCATCATGCTTTCCAGGGAGGGACCTGTTTTCCTGTTAACTGCTTATTGACTCCATCTCTGCTCACAGTACCAGGCAGAAGCATATGAATTCCTGATCCTGCAGCACATTTTCAGCAGTGCCATAATCAAGACATTGAGCCATAGGATTATGGGGCATTTCAGGATGGAGGGGACTGCAGGAAGTCTCTAGACCCTGCTCACAGGAGGATCAGCAACGAGGCCAGACCAGGATGCTCAGGGCTTCATCCAGCCTGGCCTTCAAAACCTTCAAGGATGGAGACTGCACAGCCTCTCTGAGCAACCTCTTCCACCGCTAGACCCTCCTTGTGGGGGAAAGTTTGAAGCTTTTCCTCATACCCAGTTAGCATTTTGCTTGTTTCAACTTATGCCCATTGCCCCTTTGTGTTGGGGGACCCAAAACTGCACTAGTCCCATTGTGGGTACCAAGTGAGGAGGATAATCCCTTCCCTCCAGCTCCTGCCCAGGATGCTGCTGGTTTTCCTCGCTGCCAGTGCACACTGCAGGCCAATGCTCCACTCCTGGTCTGCCTGCATCCCCAGAGCCCATCCAGCAGCCAGCCAGTCCTCAGCCTGTTTTGTTGCAAAAAGCTTGCTTCCCTGGTGCAGAATTTTACGTTTGTCCTTGTTGGATTTCATACTCCTTCCCGAGCCTGCCTAGGTGCCTCCACATGACAGCCCTACCCTGGAGCATACTGACGGTACTCCTCAGTTTGGCATCATCTGAAAACCTGACGAGGTGTGCTCGTTCCTGTTTGAGGATGAAGATGATAACCAGGACAGACCCCAGGCCATACCCTGCAGCACCGCACGTGCTACCAGCATCCAGGTGGAGCATGGCATTAACCACCACCTCCGAGCTTGACCACCCAACCAGTTGTTTTCCCATCTATCTGCCCATCTGTGCACACTGCAGCATTTCATTTGTGCCCTGTGCCGTCAGAGCACTGTGATCTGCTGGCACTGCAGTGTCTCTCAGAGAGCTCCTCTCCGGTCACATTTACGGGGTGACAGACACCAAAAGGCAGGAGAAGCACGCAGGGCCTGTGACCTGCAGAGGGAACACATTTACGGGAGCCTCAAGTGAAGCCAGATCTCACTTCGTAAAGCTCTGGACTGAAATCAAAGCCATGTGTTTGCTCATTTGGTTCCTTTAGAGAAAAGTATTTGATTGATTTATTCTCTGGGTCACGGCAGACGTTCGTGAGCCACATAAAAAAGGAAATTCCCTATTGATACGTAAGTCCCTCTTTTTCCATGGAAGAAAGGGAGGAGATATGAGAGCATGGACCAGGTTATTTGTGCCAGGCATGGCAGTGTGGTGAGGACAGGTTCCTGCATGCATCCTTGCCTGTGGGAGAGGCAGAGAAGGACCAGGGGCTGGCAGGGGAAGAAGCCTCTCCTGTTCAGATGAACAGTGGCAGAGCTGGAGGAGAGATAAGCACAGAGCAAGCAGCTGAATCCACACAGCTCCTGTTCCCAGTTTCCAGCTTGGGAATGCCAGGGAGCTGGACAGTCTCCCCAGCCCTGCAGGCGTGCTACAGACCCCCGGCAGATGCGGGACAAACACCAGCAGCATGGTGAGGGACAGGTTTACTCACAGCAGCACAAGCGATGGCAGCAGCAACAAGCATGCAACAAAACACCGCCTATGTCTTATCATGTATACATTTCTCCCACGTCTCTAAGCACTTAACTCACACAATTACTTAATTACGAGCAGAAATTAATGGCTAACGATTAAAAATCTTATCAAGGAAGCACATTTCTAGCAGAGGCTCTGAAAACTATGATGAGGCAGTGGCAGGTCGTGAAATGAATCCCTGAGACCTGGTACAACAAACATGCGCTCATGCTCAGGCACAGTGATTTGGCCATTTCGGAACAAGGGGGTGAGGGTGTGCCAATGGCACCAGACCGGATCTGTCACCTGTTCTGGGTCAGCCCCTCAGGGACTGTGGTGCTTTCCCCAGCAAGGCTCTGAAACTGCTCCTGCAAAGGACAGGAGTCAAAGAAGGATTGAGAAGGTATTTTGGATGCTAGTTAGCAAATTCTCACTTAAATGAGAAGGAGAACCTACAGGAATTGCAGCTGACCTTCACACTAGCTGGAGCAGAAGGTTGTTATTAAAGGAACCAGTGAGAGGAACAGTGCAGTTATTCAATATAATAGGTCACACAAGTCTATGTGTAGTTAAAAATAAAATCTATTACCCGGGAAAATCAGCTCAGATGACTCTACATCACCGAACCCTCACTGCATCTCCTCTAGCTGAGCACTGCCAAGGCCCATGTCCTGCAGTTTTGCCATCCCACCCTGGTGGCTGCTCCTGAACAGCCAGTGATGTATTGATTCCCCAGCACCCCAAAAAAGAAGGAAGAGCAAGTATTCCCCGTAGCTGGGGGAGGAACTGGGGCTCACAGTCAGATTTTCAGAGAAAGGTACTCTGAAAGAAGGTGGTAGATTCCCACAAGGTTTCTAAAAGCCTCTAAATTGCTGTCTTTGCCAGGAATGATGCATCCAATGCACCCAGGCTTTCAGACGTTCACCCTCAGCAGGAGGATGCCCCTGAGGTGAGGAGGGGCTCAGGACATCGGTAATGAACCAGCCCAGGAGGGACTGGGCAGGAGAGGAGGGGACCGGCGGAGCAGGACGTCTGCCCCCTGGACATGGAGGTGACCAACCAAGTCTGCTGCTCCCCATGCTTTAAAGTGTGATTACAGCTTGCAGTCAAGCTAAAGTCTTGGTGCAAGTTCAAATCTTAACCTGATGTGAGCAGTCAGCTGTGCCATCGCAGTCAGGCAGGCCTGGCTAGGGATGGAAGAAATATACTGATAATGGTGTCTATGTGTGTGGGTGTCCACGAGGAACAGCATGAAACAAGGACAAAACCTCATGCTCTTTTGAAACAGGACTTGTTTTCAGGTGTTTACTTTTCATTCTCACTCTTCATGGGCTGCATCTGGTACCCTCACAGCCACTCTTTCAGAGATTACATTTTATGGGTAAAAACTGGTTTCTACACAACCTATGATCTAACTTCCATACCTAGTTTCTAACTCTAACACACATGTAAAACGGCTGATTTTTTTTCTTAACTCCTTAGCGATTTGGTACAACCCAATCTGTAGAACATAATCAAAGCTGGTAGCAAAGACTAACCCTGAAAGAGCCTGGACATCAAATCACTGTCACCAACTCCCACTTTCCTATTACAAGTATTTTTTTCTAAATCACCATTTCCTGGAGCCATGTGATAACACATGAAATTCCACTTTGGGGTGTTTTCCTCAGTAACTCTCTGACCTTGCTGACTCCAAAGAGCTGGCCCAAACGACCTTACAGGCTTGGAAAGCAATAGGGGAAAGAAAGAGAATCTCCAAGTTATCACCACTTTTCAAATCATATGATACTTAGTGGCCAGATTTGTGACCTTTAAGATACATATTTGGGCCTCAGAATACCACCTTCCCTCATAGCCAGCAGTGTCTGTCATGTGCAGACCAAAGGCAGCAGAACCTGGGGAGAAATCCTGGTGGTTCTTTCAGGCTGAAATAAGTGCACTGATTTCCAGCAGTATCTGACCTCTGGTCCTTAGGCAGGAGTGAGCCCAGCTCGGTGCTCCCACCACTGCGCACCCACTGCTGCTTGCTGCCAGCACCCTGATGTCGCCGTCCTACCGCAGGTCATGCGCAGATCTGCAGCCGACAGTGACAGAGGGTTGCACCGATGACTTTACGTGCCCGCAGACCCTGCTCTGCCCACCCTGGGTGCTTGCACACCCTCTGCTCCCACTGGCCACACAGGCAAGTGCCGGCCACCGGCTGGCTTGTGCTACCAGCATTTCTCACTGTGAGGTTCCAAAAGGGGAAGGAAATTACAGAAATACAGTGTCCTGAAGGCAACTCAGGAGTCAGCTGGATCGGCACAGTTTTGCACAGAGAAATGTTGAGGTCAGGACACGTCCATCCCCCAGGGGCCAGTGACCTCACCACTGGAACACAGCATGGAGGGACACAGCATGTTCAGAGAAAACAGGCGGGTTAGAGCAAAGCCTGTGTCAAAGGGGAAGAGCCTGGCACAGTCCAAAATGGAGTGATCCCCAGGCTCCACAGAAGGGAGGCTGGGGTCTCTTTCAGCATCCCAGTGCGAACGATTTGCTTTGGCAGTCTACAGGCTGGATTACCTCCCGCACTGGGGAGCCTGGTCTTCCTTCACTCAGGACCGTTCTACACCTGCCCTTCCCCTTCGCCTCTGCCTCGTGCTCGCCTCAGCACAGAGCATCCACAGAGTGCCACACTTTCCTCCTGAAATGCTGTCTTTTTCTTTTCCTTTTATCACCCCCACCCCCCCCCCCCACCCCACCCCCCCGTTCTGAAGACTCACCAGGCACCATTCCTGTCAGCGCTGGAGCGGAGTAGCTGCCCTGTCCGGCGGGGGGGACGTGCGGAGGGTATCCTGGGAGGGTTGTGCTTGCCAGCTCGCGACCTGAGGAATCAAACCAACAAATCACCACGTGAGCATCGCGACGAGCAGACACAGTTTTACATCTCCCCAAGTGCCCAGAACACAGCCATGCATTTGTCATCACTGCTCTGCAAGGACCAGCGTGGGATTTCCAGCCTGGCAGGGAGGGGAGGCACAGTTTTGCTTTCTCTATAGGCTGCCACAAGGCTCCGACGAAGTGAGAGACGGGAAGGGGAAGAGCAGAGCTCTGTAGGGAGAGGAACGTGCCCGCCTGAACTCTGGCTGCTCGCCCCTATTCCCAAGTTCCTCCAAAGCTCAGATTTGTAAAGTCAGAAACAGTGAAATGTGAAATAACACTGATCTTAATGACATTTTCCCAGAAAACTCTCCAGAAAATCACAGTGCACAGGCTGACAGTCTGCAGAGATCTAAATACAACGCAGGACATTGTTTTTATCTGTTACTAAAGTCTGTTTAAAAAAAGAACAGACACAAGATATTGAGATGTGAAGATAGTTTAAAATAGAGTTTGCTGTGGTGCTAGAAGAAGGGTCAGATTCACAGACACGGCCTGATGTAGTGCTCTTTACCTAGACCACAGAAACATGTCTTTTCATTCAAGTACCCACAGGTCTTCCATGGAAATGACCTGGCAGAAAGCAGGCAGTGCGGTGTCCCCCATCTCCCTCTGCCCCTGAATGAGGGGGCTGGGGCCCCCTCTCTTTGCCCCCCTCCCCAGGCACAGCTCCCAGGACCGCCCAGGACATGTCGCTGCCCGCAGAGCAAAGAGGAGAGGTGCAGACAGCACAGCTCATGAAGTGCTGCAAGAAGTGACATCCAGACCCTTCTCAGACCCTGCCTCCCACGTGTGGATCCCAGGATAGCCACTGTCCCCGAAGGCTGCTGCTGCTGCAGCTGGATTTCAGGGAAATCGCTGTCTGCTGTGGCCACAGGTGGCCCGCCAGGAGAAAGGGACACTCCTGTGATCCCACCAGGAAAGGGACACTCCTGTGATCCCACCAGGAAAGATCCGGTCCTCACCAAAGGAACCCTGGAGCCCACCCATGGTCTTCTGGAGTCCCAGGACATCCTTGGGCAGATTGCTTATCCAGGGATAAGTTGCCTTCAAAGAACCCTCAGGGTGCATGGTACCGTCTACCCTGGCACACCACGGCCGGGTCTGCAGCTGGACTATCCCCTCCTGGGGAGCATCACATGCTGCTTCAGCCACTGTTCTGCTGCAGGGATCTGCCTGATCCACCACCCCGGCAAGGGACGGTGCTTCCAGGTACCTCTGCCGTCCTGCCAGATGGCTCCTCCAGAGGCTGTCAGGAGTCAGTGGACCCTCACAGCGGGGACTGGCCCCTCTGGCCAAACTGCAGGCTCAGAAGCAGCGGCACAGCATGGGCACTGAGCTCTGAAAAGCTCAGTGTGCACTTCAGGTAAGAGAAAGTGACCCCAGGCTGCAGGGAGCCCTGGCCCTTGCCTAAAGGCTGCGCCCCTGCTCCTGTATCCTCTGCACAGCAGGGACTGCTTGGGCTCCAACCAGCTCTGAGCTGCTGTTGGCCCAAATCGGCCCATGAGCCAGCAAAAATCATTGTGAGCACAGGTTCCCTCATCAAAACATGGCATGTCAGATCACGAAAAGTTATGAGACTTTGTTGATTTTAGCACCACTGACAAGAAGAAACACGCTGATCCTCATGTTCAAATTGGTTTTTGTAGGTATTTGATTTTACGACGGCATTTTTTTCAAGTCTCTAGAGCTCGGAGTGGTTAAAACTAAACATTTTCTCATGAGCCAAAACCATTTTTTAACTTTTTTGGTTGGCAGAGATTTTGAGCCACAATTTCATTTCGAACTGATCTAAAAATAAAATTTTAAGCTCTTTTTTTGTTATCATCAAAGAAATGAGACCTCATCTGATGAGACAAGAGACAGGAGCACGAGTTATTGTAAATTGCTGCTCACCACCCCCGGGTCATGGCCATGAAGCCCACTTCCCCCACCACCCCCATCAGATGAAAGGGTCTGTGCTGAAACGCTCCGGCAGCACCTGGCACGTGGGCATCACTGCAATGATCTCTCAGCACATGCCCCACTTTCCTTGGCGCTGTGCATCCACAAATCGGGATGCACACCATTCCTCTCAGGCCCTTCCTACAGAATATTTATGGGGCATCCACATCCTGAAAGAATTTAAGGTTCAAAACAATTGATTAATTTGCTCTCCAGTTCTAAGGGGAAGCCAGATCCCTGACGGAAGGGCATCATGAATTCTAATTATTCAGTGCAGGCACAAAATGGCCCTTTTAGATTAAAATGTTCTCCCCTCATCACTGCCCTGCTTCCTTCTCTCCCACACAAAATTAAACTCTGATTACATCATCTCTACAGCCTGGGGAAGGCAGAAGTATCTACGATCTACTTAAATTTGGTCGAAGAAGCAAAGTTCACTCCCAGCACCGGCAGGGATCAGTGGCCCTTGACTAAGGGCTGTGCCTAACACACAAAAGCAGCTCTCACACAGCCTGACCTCCACACTGGTACCACCATTCAGGAGTCCTCCAATGACCCAAGAAGGGCCACCAAAAAAAAAGGTGTAGTGTCACCACAGAACAGCTTGACACCTTGTCTCCCAAAGGTGCCCAGGTCTGTGGGCCAACAGCGGAGCTTCCCCTCCTGTCCTGTCCCACACTGACCACTCTCCTGTCCTCACTTTCCAGTAGTTATTAAAAAAAAACCATTGACCTACAATTTTTTTCAATATATTGAAATATTACAACACTTTTCACTTTCTCCAGAGCCACTGTCACACCCAGCATGTTAGGATCATTGTCAAGGGCACTGACCAAAGTAGCCACCACTAGAGACACCAAGAAAAGTAGCATCTCAGCTCCTCCGTAAATCAAGACAACATCACTCATGGTCTGTTCTATGGGTCTGGTCTGGTTTCCATCGCATCCCATTTCCAAATTAAAAGTTCTGGCATCTGCTGACAAATGTTTATAGTAGGGTCACTGCAGCCAGGCCTCAGGCAGGGGCTGAGAGGTGGCCAAGGGGGCTGGCAAAAACCAAGGGCACAGCTGCAAGTGCTGCAACCCTACCTCATCCTCTCAATTACATCTGATGTTCTCCCCCCGAAAAAAAAAAAAGGGTGGAGCATCCCTGTCCTCCATGAGATTTTTCCTCCAATATTGGAAAGTTGCAATTGCACTGAAATAACTTATTTCAGAGAAACATTAATAACCCTGGCATGAAGAGAGGATAAGAAGCAGCCTCCACCCCAGGGCGTTCGTACCCTACTTGAGCAAAGCAGGCAAGAGGAAATGAACATCTGCATTTTAGCAATGGACCACAGAGACATAGAGACCAATGCCCTTCAAGACACACTTACTGCTAAGTACCTTTGATCTGGGCTTTTTAAAGGGTATTTTAGATGCCTAAAGTTGGAGATGGGGCACAGGTGGCTGTGGGCAGAGCTGCCTCCCTCCCTGCCTCGCTGGGCTGGAGTCGTGTGGGACAGAGCAGCTCAGCTGCCAGCTCTAGCCTACAGAGAAGCATGACCAGAGCAGAGCCTAGCAGAATTTTCCAAGAACTTCTGCTAACACTATGAGGCCACTGCCTAAAGCTTCAGGTACCAAATACCTTGCTAAGTCTTGCCTGGAGTGGCCTCCCCATGGAGAGGCTGGTAGCCCCATCAGCGCTGGTACCTTCAGTGGTGTCTGCTGGCCAGCAGCTGACACGCTTCCATGACGGAGGGAGCGCATGGCAGCTCTTGTGCCCTATCAGCCTGGAGAAGGCAGTGTGGCAAAGGAGAAGGCCGCATCTCCTTCTGTGGAGGACCCTGCCTTCTCCTTCGCCACACTGACTCCTTCAGGCCACCTCACTGACCTCCTCCATATCACTGGAGAGCATCTCCAAGGGGTCCACCAGCAAGGCAGCTTGGACCCATCGCTCATCCAGCACCCAAAGGAGAAATGTTTTAGGGGAGAGGGTCTACACAACCTGTCCGAGGGGGTCTGCATTCAAAATGCACACAATACACCATGCTTGTGTTACTGAAGGCAGAACAGGTCCACGTTCTTTGAGCGGGATGTGGTGAGACTGAAAACGTCCTTCTCAGGATGGGAAGCACATCTTTCTTCTGTCACAGACGGGTCCCGATCAAGCTCTGTCTCCTCCATATGTGATCTTGCCAGAGATGCTTCCCACCACACCAGAGGAGTGAAGCCCCATCCCTTCACCTTCAGCAGCACCTGGGATACCCCAGGCCCAGGCTGCCAAGGCCAGCAGGTGAGGATTTGGAGCCTTCAGCTGGAGTCAACATATTCTGGAGACTCGGGAGAGCATCCAGCAGCCAGGCATGATGCAGAGGAGCTGGGCTGCCACCGCATGAGCATGGCATGTCACTGGTGCCACCTGGTACACCACTTCCTTGCAGCATCCTATTTCTACAAGGCAGAGCGCAAAGTGCCACCATCCACCAGGACTATAACTAAGGCAGAGACTGGTTTGAAGTAAGTTGATGGAGATAGGATTGGCATAAAAGATAGGATAAAAACAGTAATAACACCAGAACTGGTGTTTGGACAAAAAATGTGAGTATGGGATTACCTGCGCTCCACAACCCTTGCCACAGCATCACACAGATACAGGCAAATAACCCCTCTTTGAAAAGCAAAGATGCAGAGTGGAAGAGAGCTGAGGTCAAGATGACTGAAGAAGCCTCCATCCTGTAAATGGATGCAAGGAGCTCATTCTCAGTTTTAAGTACTGCTACAGACAAGCTGCTTTCCTCTCCAACTCTCAGCCTTTCCATCTCTCCAATGAAGAAAAAAGTTCACCACTTCTCCGGTGAGCTGCTGTGACTCTGATGGATTAAAAGTGCTGCAGCATGCTGAGCAATGTGACGTTTCAAACACTTTTCCCACCCACAAGGACAGACTGGCCAAGCACCCCCTCGGGCAGGCAGGTAGCGGTGTGTGGTTACAGCATTGCCTTGTGATGGTGTGGAGCC